TTGCTGGTCTCATTGTGTTGTCGTTGTTGTTGCTGCCAAAATGGTCATCAATTTTACTGGCTATTTACCATACTTTTATTGGCTGTTAGTAACATGTAAATTTTTTACTAGTTTCTCTTGATTCTTGATAGTAAGTGATAATGTCTGCCTAAATAAAAAGTATGAGAAGTACTTATTTCAGAAGTCATTGTTTAGCCAAAATGGTCTTCAAATTAATGTTCAATTTTTTCTGAGCACAAACTTAAAGTCAAAATATGAGGGCACCTACTTTTTGCATCTATTTGTACGCCGTCAATAGTATATATGATTGGTGTGTATTTGAGGTCATTGTTGTTTTCCCGGGCCAGGACTGTTTTCGCCAGGATACGTTCCGACTTACTACCCAGCGTATTCAGGTAAAGTTATCTGGTGTTTTTAAAACTAACTGTTTCGTTGATTTTCTAGTAAATTTGAGAATTTAATTTGGTTATAGATTAAGGTACTGTATTTTTTGCCAGTGAACTACTAAAGTTGTTTGTTAATGTTGCTTGAGTTTACCAGCTCTAAGATCTCATTTGCGCGTATTGGCATTTTGCTACTGCACAGATTATTGTATGCTCATTGACAGCTTGAAAATTTAGTCTTAGAGTAGTGAATGCTAAAGTTATTTGTGTATAAATAATCAACAGGAGATTGCTTGATGAAAAGTGCCGCTTGATCCACCACTATGCAATAAAATTAACTCAGTTAATTATCTATTATTTTCGCAGCTGATTAGTTATTCCTTGGAACTATCAACAAAAATTTGTTTTTCTAATTTCTTTAATCAAATTTTCTTGCATACTTGAAAGCTTTTTTGTTTTTTTAGTTGTTACGGTGTCGCTTTTTAGGTGGTTACGGAGCTAGTGTATACGAGCCGGTTGGTGGATTTCCGTTGGGTCCTTTCCGTTCTGAAGCAAACAGCGCATCGATAACATCAGTATCAGCACTAAATTGTCATAGTTTTTCGGAGACCTGCCGTTGGTCAAATACAAACGAAGACGAACTTGACTGGAAAGTTAAATCAGCAGCACCAGAATCAGCAATGTGGAGCAGTTCGCTCAATTCAGCAGTAGTTCCTGGTACTGTTTTCTTATTAAAACTGATACAGTTACTGTGGATGTAAATATATTGATTCTAATAATTTCTAGCATTAAAACTCCTATTTTTCTCGGTTTTTTTTAGATCAAGGCGCATCAGTTCTGTTTTCTTCAAGCGGTAACGGGTGGGAAGTAGGACAACTGGTTTCTGATCAGATACCATGTATGACAATGCCGCTGCGACTAACAGCAACTGTATGGCGTACCGGTTCTGGTGTGGGACAACAGCAACCAGTTCTTCAAATTTGCTCCCGAAATGTTCGTAGTGATATGCCGGTGTCAAACTGCCAAAAGTTTCCCTCACAAAATGGTGTTCCGGTAACAGTTGATGTTCCCTTACCGCATGATCCGTTATCGCCAACACAGGTAAATTTGCATTCAGAGTCTGTTTACCATTTTTTTTCGCAGAATTTCTTATAAGTTTTCATCAGTCCTTTGGCGTCGTTTTTACGATAAAAAAACAAATGGACATATCGTGAGTCACCAGCTGGACCTACCAATTTATCTGCTTTTGAATAGTGAAATGTTGGCATGCAATTGCTTAGGAGCTGTTAAAGTAGGGCAATCAAATTATTCGTTTTACTTTGACTGCACTAATTTATTGATGTCATATCAATACCCGACTATCAAATTTTTAAAGTATCATTTTAGAAATATTTTCAAAAAGTATTGTTGCTTATTATCTTTACATTTCCATTAGAAATTTGAGTTTAAATTTGAAAAAGAAAAAAAAGAAAGGGATTTGTCTTCAATCATTTGTAAACTTACGGAGTGAGTTTTGAAAGGGATTTCGTGCAAAAAAAGGAAGGGGGGTACCCTAAAAATTCTTTACATAACAATGATAGTAAATACCATATTGGTTTAACGTTTAGTACTTAACAATGGTCAACAGGTAGTCTAGACGGTTTATGTTTGTAAATGAATTAAAACTGAAATTAAGTTACTGGGTCATACACAATCTTTCCACGCAATATAAATACAAATATCACTTATTTATAAGTAAATAGTTCTAGACTGGTAAAAAGAAAAAATCTGTTATTAAAACATATTTTACCACTGTAAAATTAAGTAAGTTTTAAAATATTTTAATGATAACAAAAAGTTCGAATTACGGTGTTAGATTAAAACAGTATGCGCACAGTGGAAGTACAAGAAATAGAATGCTAAAACAACAAGGTTGTAATGTGATTATTACTACTGTGGTGACATCTTCGTAACATTATACACTCGGCCAACTTCTATGTTTATTTAAATTACCGTAGCATTTTATGATCGTATCAAAAATTCTACAGTCACAGTGTTCAAAGGGTGGCAGATCTGAAGGAGTAATCAAATCCGATAAACACCTGCGAATTGCTGTTAACAAGTAAAAGTGGTTTGCATTTTTTTCCGTTTCAGATCATCTTATTAGGCACCAATTTTGCTGGATTGGGTGGGGCCATTTTTGTGCAAGATATCATTGTGGAAGGTCGTCTGGAGCAGGACTGTGCTCTAGTTGCACTGGATAATCGAGTTGAGGGATCAGAGGAACCTCAACGGAAAGAAGCGGACAACAACTACATGTCGATAGCTGCCGTTTCACCATATATGCAACAGTTGGGTACAGCAAAAGGTCCAGCGAGGATGCCTAATTCAATCAATGATGCTGTCTTTGAACTGTTCTATGATACTTGTATTACACTGTCATGTAATCCGGCTGGTAATAGTTCTCTAACTTCCTTTTTTTTTTTTTT